CCTCACAAAAACATCCAACAGTTGACATGTTGAATTTACATATACCATGTTGAGAACAAACTTTTGGATCTTTTTGTGGTAACCACATATCAACTCCTGCCTTACATAAAATCGTTTCACATTGTGGACCTATTGCTCTTCCACTTTCGGATTCCAAACAAGTACATTGATTAGCACCTGTGCATTTTCCTTGACCATTCGTACAAGCTCTCGAGTCATTATTGGATTTAAAACCAAAGCATGAATGAGAGGAACAAGTTTCTCCATCATATCCATCTAGACATTTGCATGTGTCCAAGGTTATGCATTGGCCATGGGAGGAACAAACTGAAGAATTGTAAAATGGAATTCCAAAACAAGATGGGAAATTACACTTAGCCCCAAACCATTTAGGATTACAAGAACAAACATCAGGGGAGAGACATTTACCATGACCAGCACATACATTTGAATCGTTTGCTGGTAATCCAAAACACTTTGGAATTTCACAGAATTGTCCAGTCCAATATTGATTGCATAAACACATATCTGTAGATACACATTTACCATTGCCATTAGTACAAACGATTTGCTCATCTTGTGAACTTGTTCCATTACATGAATGAATTGAACAATCAGCTCCAAACCATCCCTTATTACAACTACAAGTGTTAGCATTAATACATTGACCATGAGTTGAACAAACTGAAATATCACTTGAATTCCATCCAAAACATTTAGGAATTTCACAGAATTGACCTGTCCATGTTTCATTACATGAGCAAATATCAGTGTCAATACATTGACCTCTTCCTCCATTACAAACATTTTGTAAATCTTGAGAGCTTGTTCCATTACATGAATGAATTGAACAATCAGCTCCAAACCATCCATTATTACAAGAGCATTTATCAGAGCTCATGCAACCTCCATGACCAGCACACACTTTTTTATCAGTTGAAGCTAAACCAAAACACTTCGGAATTTCACAGAACTGGCCTGTCCAACCAGATTTACAATCACACTTATCCATTTGAATGCATACTCCATTACCACCATTGCAGACGTGTTTTAAATCTTGTGAACTAGTTCCATTGCAGGAGTGAATACTACATAATGGACCAAACCAACCTGTATTACATTGGCAAGTATTAATATCAGTACAGTTACCATGAGTAGAGCAAACTGTAGCGTCTGTAGAAATAACGCCATAACATTTAGGAATAGTACAGAACTGACCAGCCCAATTTTGGTTACACAAACACAAATCTGTTCCAATGCACTGACCATTTCCTCCATTACAAACGTTTTGCACATCTTGTGAACTAGTTCCATTACATGAATGAATTGAGCAGTTACTACCAAACCATCCCTTATTACAACTGACAAGTGTTAGCATTAATACATTGACCATGAGTTGAACAAACTGAATTATCACTTGAATTCCATCCAAAACATTTAGGAATTTCACAGAATTGACCTGTCCATGTTTCATTACATGAGCAAATATCAGTGTCAATACATTGACCTCTTCCTCCATTACAAACATTTTGTAAATCTTGAGAGCTTGTTCCATTACATGAATGAATTGAACAATCAGCTCCAAACCATC